GAGTTTTGCCTTTTCTTGAGTATTGTATAATTGGAATCATATGGTATCTACACTTTTCATATTAACTGCTTTCACTTGCTTTTTCACTTTCAAACTAAAAAATATTAGGCTGGAATAAGGTCATATATACTAAAAACTCAGAGTATATCAGGAACTGCTAGTATCATAACCAGTAAGTTAGACTTAAAACTAAAAAAGGTAGTTAGGGACAAAGATGGCTATGATATATGTTCAAAGGACCAAATAACCAAGAAGATATAACTGTTATTAGTATTTATTCTTCAAATATCGGAACACCTAAGTTATATAAAGCAAGTATATTTTTAAATATTTATTTTTATTTACTTACGCTTAGAATAACTGGGGTGTAGGCCGGAGGTGAGGGGGGTGAGAGGATTTACCAAAGTGGGGAGCAGAACAGATGTACTAACTGAAATACACTGCTGAGGGGAGCAGTGGGCAAGACAGGAGAGGTCTGCTCCATCATATGTGGGTTAGCTCCCTGGCCAGGGACAGCTGAAATGTAAACCTTGCACCACCATCGAGGCCATATAAAGTAACTATTAATAGATCTAAAACAACAAATAAACAATCATTGTCGGAAATTTCAACACACTATTGACTCAAAGAGACAGGTCATCCAGAGAGAAAAGTAACAAAGAAATAAAGGCCTTAAATGAAGTATTAGATCAGATGGACATTTAAGGAGTTTTCCATCTTAAAAGCAATGAATACACTTTCTTTCTCCAGTGCAGATGTAACATTTTTAAGAATAAATCATATACTAGGTCAGAAAACAAGTCTGAGAAAATATACAAAAATAGAAATTATATCAAGTATCTTCACAGACTACAATGCTATAAAGCTAGGAATTAACCATAAAAGGAATCCTGGAACAAACAAAAAAACATGGCGATGAAACAAAATGCTTCTGAACAAATCTTGGGTCAATGAAGAAATCAAAGAAGAGATTAAAAAAAATCTAGAGACTAGTGAAAACAAAGAGACAGGCTACTAAATCTTATGGGCCGCTTTAAAAGCAGTACAACATGGGAAATTTATAGCAATACAAGCCCACATTAAAAAAAAAAAGTAAAAAAGAAGAAAGATCTCAATTTAACAATTTAACTCTGTAGTTAAAGAAACTAGAAGAAGAACAACAAAAGCATCCAAAAAACAGAAGAAGACAAGAAATAATAAAAATTAGAGAATAAATAAATGAAGTAGAAAACAAAAGGATAGTCAAAAGATCAGTGAAACCAAGAATCGGTTCTTTGAAAAAAATAAACAATATTGACAAGCCACTAGCTACGTTTATGAAGAAAATTAGGAAGAAAATCCAAATCAATAGAGTCAGAAATTAAAGGGGTAAAATTACAATAGATACTTCAGAAATACGCAGATCAAAAGAAAGTACTATAAAAGTCTATGCAAACAAACTGGACAAGTTGGAAGAAATGGACAAATTCTTAGATTCATATAACCTCCCAACATTGAACCAGAACAAAGAAGACACCTTAAACAAATTTAATGAAGGAGATGAAGGATTGAAAACTATAAAACTGTTAAAGGAAATAAAAAAGCTGAAAAGAAATGGGATGATTTCCTGAGCTCATGGGTTGGAAAAATTAACATCATTAAAATAACTTCTTTCATTCAACAATATGAATCTAACATTCCTCCTTGTTTTCTGATAGCTTGACGGCTCATTTCTTCTCATTGCCCAATAAGATTCCATTGTCTGGATGTACCATGGTTTATCTACTCACCTATGGAAGCACATCTTGGTTGCTTCCAAATTTTGGCAACTGGGTTTTTGCATGCATGTAAATTTTCAATTCATTTGGGTAAATATCAAGGAGTGCGACTGCTGGGTCATATCATAAGAGTGTATTTAATTTTGTAAGAAACTGCCCTACCAAACTGTCTTCCAAAGTGGCTCTACCATTTTTCTTTTTTTTTTTTTTTTTTTTTTTTAAGGACAAGGATTCTTTTTTTTTTTATTTATACAAGCACTAGGTACAGTTAGAAGTGCGGGAGGGTGAAAGAATTCACCAGAGCCAGAGCGGGGAGCAGAGCGGGCAGAAGGACCAAAATACACTGCTGAGGGGAGCAGCAGGCGAGTCAGGAGAGGTCTGCTGCATCATGTGGGTTGCTCCCTGGCTAGCCGGGGATTGAACTCATGCTGCAGAGGCTTTGGATTGCTTCACAGTGCTGTACTTAACCCCTTGCACCACCAGGGAGGCCCACATTCTTTAACTCAGGAAATTATTCATCTCTTTACTAGGGAGTCTAGTGTTGGAGATTAAATGTGGGAGTGGGTTTATCACAACAAAAAAATTGGAATTATGTGTAGTAATGGATGTCAACTAGACTTACTGTAGTGATCATCTTGATAGGGGATAGGGAGGGGGAGATCGGGTGAGACACTAAGTTGGTATAGCAGGAAATCTGCACACACATATTGTTTATGGCCTGTCTGCTCTGAGTTCATTTTCCAGGCCAAGGACACATCTGCAGGAGTGTGGGGAGCCAGTGCTATCTGAAGACAAGCCTCAGCACAGTTGGGCCAGCGTGAGCCAAGTGTCTAGGAGGGTCAGAAGGAGCTCCTAGCAAGTGGTGAAGGCCCCCTTACTGCTGAACTCTCTTTGTTCAACTCACTATAAAAAGGCAGCCGGAAATTAAATGTTAAGGTAGTTTCTTTAGGGTGTTAATCCCCTGCCCCCTTCCAGACTGCTGGCAATCTGATTAAAAACACACTTTAAAGATTCAATTCCTGTCTCTTCTTTACTGGCATTCGGTGGTGACAGGTGGCTGGAACTCCAGTCTTCCTGTTACAGTCTCATATCGAAATATTGAATTATATGTTGTGAAAAGCTGACATTTGTGAAGGCATTTTAAAAATGAAGTTAGGGCCTCCCCGGTGGTGCAGCGGTTGAGTGCTGGGTTGCGAAGCTGCCTGCGGCCTCTGCGGCGCCGGTTCAATCCCCGGCTGCTCTCTGCCCACCGGAGGAGGGTCCCACATGGTGCGCAGACCTCTCGAGAGCTGCCGCCCGCTGCTCCCCTCAGCAGTGTACTTCAGTCCTTCTGCCTGCTCTGCTCCCTGCTCTGGCTCTGGTAAATTCTCTCACCCTCCCGTGCTTCTGACTGTACCCAGTGCATGTATAAACAAACAAATAAATAAAACATGCCTCTAGAAAAATTAAAAAAAAAAAAAATGAAGTTAGTCAACCAGTATAGACAAACTACATTCATCACCTGTCTCCTCTGATCTAGTTCAAAGAACTTTGAACTGGGCCCAAAAGCAGCTATTTTAAGAAACATTCAAGCAAATAATTGTTTTAAGAGTCATCTGGGTGATTATGGACATTTTGGTCAGAGAATATACTCAATAATCAATTATGCATAGCCTAGAATAATTTAAGCTGGTTAATACTAACTCTTGTTGAACACCTCATCTCCCTTTTCCTGACATAAAACTCCCCAACTTTAGCGCTCTTTAAGGACTATTTGGGGTTTTCTACCCAAATCTGGGCCTCCAAACTTCAATTTTTTGATTCCAACTAATCATGCTTTGTCTTTCAGTGGCCTCCTGAAGTCTTAGGTTAACAGCTGATTTCATGTAGTCTCTCCTTCCTTATGGTCCATTATCCACATGTTGGTTTGCCATCCTCCGATCGAGTTTTTATCTATCACTTTCATTCCTCTTTTTCCTTCAAATCATGAAGTTTTAAAAGAATATCCTATACATAATTGAGTCACTCTTATACAGCACCAATTCAGCATTTTACATGTACTTATGTATTTTTTTTTTAGATTTATTTATGCATACAAGAACGGGGGTACAGGCCAGAGGTGTGAAGGATGAGAGGATTCACCAGGGACAGAGGGGACAGAACAGACAGATTGACTGAAGTACACTGCTGAGGGTAGTAGCAGGCGAGTCAGGAGAGGTCTGCTGCGCCAGGTGGGTTGCTCCCTAGCTGGGGATCGAACTCATGCTGCAGTGGCTGCGGTAAGCTTCATAGGTTACAATTTAACCCCTTGCGCCACCAGGGAGGCCCCGCTTATGTTTTTAATCCCTTTTCATCTATTGTTTTTTAATTTCAGCCTGTTCTCTTACAATTTTTTTTCCTGTTTCAGTCAGGCCCTCTTATTGCAACCGAGAATGCCAAATTGCTTCTTGAAACTTTGTAGTTCCTACTGTAGCTCTTTTCCGAAATCCTTCAGAGACTACTAAATATTGTTTCCATTTCTGATCGTAGTTTTGCTTTTCATATGCTCAAAGTTAGGATTTCCTGGTGATTTTCTCTTAGCCCCTTTATCCAAATGCCGGGGACACAGAACCACCAAGTGCGTGGCTCGCATATTTTAAAATATGAAAACCCACTGACTGCTGTTGGATTCTTTTCTGTCAGGGACACCGAGGCTCCTGTTGTGGTCCATCCTCCGCCGCGCGCTGGCTGACGGAGAAACACACCGCGCTCTGCTTGCAAACAGGTAGCGCCTCTCGTCGGTTTCCTTCAGCATTTTAAAAAAAGTGGGTCGTGACCCTTTTGAGCCATGAAAGGAATATAACGGGCGGGTCGCCGTCAGAATGAAGACGGCAAGGAACAGAACGCGGGGCAGGGCACGCGGGCGCCGTGTCTCGAGCAGCGCGGGTTAGCGTTTTGGCGTCTCCGCCGGGTGTGGACCTGCTTTTCCTCCACTCAGCCGGGCAAGCGCCCGAGTCGCCGCCGCCGCGCAGGCCTCCGGCCGCGACACTCCCCAGCAACGGGCGGACTGAACGCCCGGCCCCGCCCGGCGTCTCACGCGCCGGCCGAGGCCTCTGGGAAACGGAGTTCGACGCCGCGGCGCCTTCTAGGAGCCGTAGTCCTGCCCCGCCCGGAGCGGCCCAGCGCAGACGCGAGCGGGGCGGGGAGCGCGCGGCGCGACCGGAAGTGGCGGTTGAAACTGGCTGGAGGCGGGACGGGGTCGGCGCGGCAAGTCCAGCGCCCGGGCGCCCGTCGCCGGGTTTGGTGCTCGCCCCGGCGCTTCCGGGCCCGGGATCCCAGCGTGCCGGTCGCCGCCGAGGGAGGGAAGCCCAGGTATCACCATGGCAACCGCCCACCCTCGGGTCGCGTGACGTCACCCTCCTCGCTTCGCCCGAATTGGCCTCCGCGGGAGCTGGCTGGGGGGGTGGGGTCCTCGAAGGGGGCGCCCCTAGCCGCCTCCCGACCCGGGCGGTTCCGCCCCGGCCCCTCGGCGGGCTTTGTTCTTTTGTTCCGGTCTGGGAGGAAGGACCCGAGCCCGGCCCCGCCCTGCTTGTCCGCCTTCCAGCTTTTCCGCTCCGCAACAGGTGTGTCTTCCTGTGTCCGCGGGGGTGTGAGCCCGCGAGCGTGCCCGGAGGTGGCGGGCCGGGGCCCTGGGCCCCCCGGGCCAATCTGGAGGGTAGGTTTTTTTTGAATCCGAACTGAACCTGCGTCCTCGATCTCCATTCTGTTTTTCTCAGCGGGAGCACCAGACGCCTGTTCGGTGCCCTCTCGAGACTTCTCTTTCGCAGGACTTCTCGGCCACTATGCAAAACTCTGATGACTGATAGTGTGACGAACGCAGCTGACCCCATCTTGTTTCTTTTAGGGCGACCAGCCGCTACGTATGTGAGAGCTCAGGCTCCTTGGACATCTGAACAACAGACCGAGGATCCAGCTGGAGGCACTCTGCTTGGGAAACTCTGGTGTCCATGTTCCAGAGGAACGGGATGCGCTGCTGAGATGGAAGGTAGTGAGGACGACTGGGTGGGGAGAGCAGGATGATGGAGGCAGAAACAAACAAACAAACAAAAAACCCAACACACAAACAAACCAGTCCTGACTGTAAAGTCAAATACTTGATAGACCTGGAAGAGGTCAAAGAAAGGAAACTTACATTTAGGGTAGAGAAAAGAAACTGATTATAGGAGAGAATTATAAGAAGTTAAATCTCCGTGGCTTAGGGATTTGGGGATGAAAAGGAGCAATGATTCAGAATGTCTGTGCTCCTCACATGACTACTTCAGTTTGTTAAATACTAGAATGATAATCTTGCTGTCAGAAAAAAATCTATCATTCCTTCATTGTGAGAATCCATATTGAAATATCCCTGGCAGATAGCCATCTGTTTAGCCTATGCCTGAACAAATAGGGTATTAAATGCTCAGTTTTTGGGGTAGACTATTTTCTTGCTGACTTTGTTTAGTTCCTTATATTGGGCAGAAGTGTCTCTGCCTGTAACTTATTAGTCCCCCCAAACAAGATCTGCTCATTCACATTTCTGCTCTTAATATAGATGAATTCAGCAGTTCCAACTCCTCTTAGGAGTTCTGTTCTTTACTAAGCCAAATAACCTCAGTTCCTCTGAAGGATCTTCAGATGATCTTATCTAGTCCTCTTCTATAAAAACTTTACTGCATGACAACATGCTTTTTAAAACACAATGCCTAAAATGAAACATGCTTTGAAAAATAGGTGAAAGTAGAAATATAGTACTTTAGATTTACATTGTATTGTGTTTCAGCATTGGACTGTATTCGCTTTTAAAAATTCAGCCATATTATACTATATATTGTAGATCTTTTTTTAATATAAACTTTAATGAACTAGATTTATGCAATCTTCGTGGAGAACTTTTTTTGGTGATCTCTACCCCCTCCATCCAACTTTGTGGATGGAGTCTGTCCTTACAGAGACTGTGTGTGCTGCACTAATGATAGGGTAAAGCAGTGCCTTTCAAATGTTGTCTATGGTCCAGTGCTGGTCCCCAAAGTGCTTGCTGCCAGTCCCCAGCATGTTAAGTGCAGTGCTTGAGAGAAACATTGATAGCAATTTGACAGCTGTTTACAGCTGTTGTTTCTCATAATCATTTTAACAATTGGTGGTTAATTTGTATGACTCATACAAAAATCACAATGAGAAAAAAATCACAATGATGTAGATGATATCCTTGCCTATTTTTTTTTGGATTTTTTTTTTTTTTTTTAAAGGAAAATCACAGGGAAGAACAAGAATATTCTGTGAGATTTCCCTAGGGAAAATAAACTTAATGCTTGACATTTTTAATGAAGCTCCACTGTATTTAATTTAAATTCTGATTTTCTCCCATTATAACAGAGCACTTCAATTTAACCATGTTAAAAACTGCTAGACAAATATTATATTATGCATTATTAGTCTTGACCTTAATTAAAAAAAAGCAAAGACAAGTTCCACATTGTGTCATGTATATTTTTAGTTGTTTTAACATATTTATTCTCTTTTCTGTGTTTTTTTTTCCCCACCACCATCCCTCGTATCCCCTTGACATTTCCCTCCCAGTCCCCCCAATGAAAGACCTCAGTGTCCTCAGGATGTTAATGTTGATGTCCACTAGTGTTTTTTTTTTTTATAGCTGTTTTTACATTGTTGAATGTGAATATCTAATAATTGTTTTTATTCTTCCGACTTCTTTTGCTGCACAAAATTATCTCAAATTTTCTCCATTTTGTTGAAAATGGCTGCAATTCATTCTTTCCTGTGGCTATATAATACTCCATGGGGTGCATGTAATACATCTCTTTGATCCATTTGTCCACTGAAGGGCATTTATGCTGCTCCCATGTCTTGTCCCATTATTGTAAATAATGTTGCGGAACGTGGGGCTTTTGTTGATGGTTTCATACTCTGGTTACATGCCCTAAGTGGGATTGTCAGGTATTTCCATTTTCAGTTTTTTAAGGTAAATCCAGATTGCTGTCCATAAAGGTTTCACCAGTTCACATTCCCATGGACAGTGTGATAGGGCTCCTTCTCCACCCCCTCCCTGCATCCTCTCCAGCACTTCTTATTGGGGGTGTTTTTAATATGTGCCATTTTCATGGGTGTGAGGTGTGGTATCCATTTGTAGTTTTAATCTGCATCTCTGTTACTAGGTGTGACATCTGTTCATATGTCTTGGCCTTCTGGATATCTTTTTTTTTTTTTTTAAAGATTTATTTTTTTATTTATACAAGCACTGGGTACAGTCAGAAGCACGGGAGGGTGAGAGAATTCACCAGAGCCAGAGCAGGGAGCAGAGCAGGCAGAGGGACCGAAGTACACTGCTGAGGGGAGCAGCGGCGGCAGGAGAGGTCTGCGCGCCATGTGGGACCCTCCTCCAGTGGCCGGGGAGCAGCCGGGGATTGTACCAGTGCTGCAGCGGCTGCAGGCAGCTTTGCAACCCAGCGCTCAACCGCTGCACCACCAGGGAGGCCCATCTTTTTTTTTTTTTTTAAAGATTTATTTATTTATTTATACAAGCACTGGGTACAGTCAGAAGTGTGGGAGGGTGAGAGAATTCACCCGAGCCAGAGTGGGGAACAGAACAGACAGACTGACGAAATACACTGCTGAGGGGAGCAGTGGGCGGGGAAGGAGAGGTCTGTCGCGCCATGTGGGACCCTCTGCGGTGGCCAGGGATTGAACTGGCGCTGCAGAGGCTGCGGGCAGCTTCGCAGCCCAGCGCTCAACCGCTGTGCCACCAGGAGAGGCCCTCGACATCTTCTTTGATGAATTATCTGTTCTTATCTGCTGTCCATTTGTTAATTGGGTTTTTTTTTATTGTTGGATTATATGAGTTTTTATCTATCTGGGATATTAATCCCTTATCAGTTATCTATCTATCTATATAGTGTAAATATTTTCTACCATTCAGTAGAGTGTCTGTTTAATCACCTTGTATTCCTCTTTTGCTGTACAGAAGCTTTTTAACTTGAGATAATCCCTATTGTTTGTGTTTTGAATTTTATTTCCATGGAGGGTGAGTCACCAAAAACACCTTTATTGTTAATATTGTGGAACATAATGCTTTCTTCCAATAATTTTCTTCCATGTATTTTATTGTTGCAGTCTAATATCTGACTCTCTAATCCATTTGGGATTTATTTTTGTGTATGGTGTTAAGGAGTAATCCATCTTCATTCTTTTATGTGTGACTTTCCAATTTTCCCAGCACCATTTATTTTTCCCCATTTTATGGTCATGTTTTATCATAGAGTAGGTGCTGGTATATGGGTGGATTTATTTCTGGGCTTTCAATTCTGTTCCACTTGTCTGAATCTATTTTTGTGCCAATACCGTATTGTTTTTAATAGTGTTGCTTTATAGTAAAGTTTGAAGTCAGGTAACTGGTATACCTCCATTTCTCTCCTTTTTTCTTAGGGTTGCTTGTGCAATTCAAGGCCTTTTATGGTTCTATGTAAATTTCAATATGTTTTGTTCAGTTTCATTGAAAGCTATTTCTGGAATTTTGATGGGGATTGTATTAAATTTGTATATAATTTTAGGCAACATAGTCACTTTGATTATATTGATTCTCCCCATCCATAAGCATGGAATGTCCTTCCATCTCTTTATGTCACTATCTAAGTACTTTAATGACATCCATTAGTTCTCCTTACATAGGCCTTTTACCTCCTTCTGTTAGGTTGAGTTCAAGGTATTTAATTCTTTTGGAAGCAATTATGTAATTATTGATTTCATTTGCTTGTTCTTTTTTTTTTTTAAGATTTAATTATTTATGCATACAAGAGCTGGGGTACAGGCCAGAGGCGTGGGGGGTGAGAGGACTCAACAGAGACAGAGCGGGGAACAGAACAGGCAGATTGACTGAAATACACTGCTGAGTGGAGCAGCGGGCGAGTCAGGAGGGGTCTGCTGCGACATGTGGGTTGCTCCCTTGCCAGCCGGGGATCGAACTCATGTTGCAGAGGCTATGGACTGCTTCAAAGGTTACATCCCAACCCCCTGTGCTACCAGGGAGGCCCTGCTTCTTGTTCTTTATATATAAATAAGCTATGGATTTTGTATGTTGATGTAGCCTGCCACTTTGATGTATTCATTTATTGTTTCTAGTAACTTCTTGATGGAGTCTTTAAAATCTTTTTCTATATGTATCTGTCACCAGTGATAGTTTCACTTTCTTTTCCTACTCAGATTCCCTTTATTTTCTGTTTGTCTGATAGAGCTGGCCAAAACATGTTATACTAAGTTAAAGAGAAATGGGGGTAATGGCTATCCTTGTCTTATGCTTATCTTATGGGGAAAGCTTTCAGTTTTTCACTATTGAGTATTATATTGGTTGTTGGCCTGTGATATATGGCCTTTGTTATGTCAAGGTGGGTGCCTTCTATTCCAATCCTATATTGAGTTTTTATTAGAAACATGTATTGAATTTTGTATCAGATGCTTTCTCTGCATCTTTGATATTATCATATGATTTTTATCTGTTTATCGATATGTTGTATTACACTGATTTATGTATATTAAGCCATCAAATTTTTTTGATCCATGAAACACAGGGTGTCCTTTCCATTTATTTATGTCATCTTTTTCTTTCACTGATGTCCTACAGTTTTCAGTGTACAGATCTTTCCCTTTGGTTACGTCTATTCCTTAAATATATATCGGTTTTGATTCAACTGTAAATGGGATTGTTTTCTTAATTTCTCTTTCTGATAGTCCATTACTAACATAGAAACAACTGTTTTTTGTACATGGATTTTGTATGCTACAACCTTATTGAATTTGTTGATTAGTCCTAACAGGTTTTTTAATGTAATCTTTAGTATTTTCTATATATAAATATCATGTCATCTGCAAACAGACAATTTTACTTCTTATTTGGATGCCTTTTATTTCTTTTTCTCGCCTAATTGCTCTAATTAGGAATTCCAATATTAAAATGGTGGCAGTGGACACTCTCCTCTTTACTGTCACTAGTGACATCTTACAGGGAAAATTTTCAGCCTTTCACCATTGTGATACTAGTGGTGGGTTAGATGTACCAGTGTCACCACCATCCACACTTTAAGATATAGAAGTCTCTCTTGTGCCCCTGCCCAGATAGTAAGTATTCAGAGATAACCACTATTCTAACTTTTCATCACCATGCATCAGTTTGGGCTGATTTTCAGCTTACTATAAATGGATTCATGTATGTATTCCTTTCATCTGTCTCATTTTGCTCCACATTGTTTATGAGGTACATTTATGCTGTTAGGTATATTAATAGTTTTCTTTTATACTATAAAATAATATTCTGTTGTTTTGACTATATCACAGTTTATTCTACTGTTGAAAACTTTGGGTTGTTTCTAGTTTGAGGTTATTAATAAAACTACAGTGAACAGCCTTGTTCATAATTCTTTGTTGGACCAAAACCCTTGTTTCTATGGTTGTATGGTCTTCAGGAGAGTGAAATTACTGATTCATAGGCAGACATGTTTATCTCTAGTGTACGTTGCCAGGCAGTTTTCCTAAGTGACTGGTAAGTTTATAGGTGTACAACAATGTAAAAAAGTTCCAATTTCTCTATATTCTTCTAGCATTTAGTATCAACTATGACTTTAAACATTCTGGTGCAAAGGTAGTATATGCCATCTTGTATTTAATTTGCAATAATAGCAGAATTAAAAAGGATCTGTGAAGATTTTTGTAAAGTAATGTGATTTTTTTATATTGTAGCAGAGAAGGCAGAAATATTTTCAAAGGTCACTTAGCGAGGAATATATACTGAATTACATGACCCTTAGGACTCATATAATGAATCTGAAAGTAGTGCTTTGAGGGACAAACTACGAATCCTAAAGTAATGCTTTACCTACTGATGGGTTTTGCAGGACCCCACTAGGTAGTAATCTTGTTTCTTTTTTGTGGATCCTGAGAAGTAGAGTTCTGTTTTTCAAGTGAAAAAATGGGTTTTACAGATTGGTGAAAACAGCTAAATTGGACAGGATTCATTGTGGCTGCTTCTTCCTTCCCCAGGTTTGTCCTCTTCTGAGTCCGCCCTTCCCCAAGAGGGCCATCGTCTGCTACCATTAGCCAGTTTTCAAGTAAGTGGGGATTTCCTGAAAGGCCTTTTCAGTCCTTAGAGTTGAATCATATATTCTTTTACTGTGGGGTATGTTTATCCAAAACCAGGGTATACAGTTCGTTCTGGACTCCCTCCTACCCAATGAACATCTTCATAGCTCTGCTTCACCGCTCTAGCTTAAGTAATACATTCACTTATGTCATGCTTAGCATCTCTAGTGATGAGAGTACAAAAGAAGTACAAACTTGATCATTTACTTAAATAGGCCAATGACTGTTCAAAACCAAAACAGCACTGTTTAAAGAGCTGGTTGTATATGACTTTTCTTAACCCTGGGTTTAGTTATATCACATTGGTAACATGACACTGCCTGTGGAGACTGTATTTATACCAAATTTTTGGAGCGCCTCCTCTGTGGAACTCCCTCCTCTCTAGTATCTGAGCTGCCACCTTTGTTCTTAGCTCAGTAAGACCACTGTGCTTCTCTAGGGCCATGATGCCCTGCAGTCAAGAGCACTTCTAGGCAGAAAACTAAGGGGTTTTTGAGGCTCATGGGATTGTTTTCCTTCTCTTAGGTATAACAGTTCAGCCCTGCCTGATGGTCAAAGTATATAAACACTTGTTTCAGAAACGTTGTTCATTTTTTTTTTTTTTTAAAGTATTCATACAAGCACTGGGTACAGTCAGAAGTGCAGGAGGGTGAGAGAATTCACCAGAGCCAGAGCGGGGAGCAGAGCAGGCAAGGACCGAAGTACACTGCTGAAGCAGCGGGCGGCAGGAGAGGTCTGCGCGCCATGTGACCCTCCTCTGGTTCGAACCGGCACTGCAGACAGCTTCACAACCCAGCGCTCAACCGCTGCGCCACCGGGGAGGCCCAACGTTGTTCAGTTTTATACTTGCTTTTTCTGAAAAAGCTAGTCCTAATAATTTATTATTCATTCATTCATTTCTATACTTATTTATTTTAAAACTAAATTAACTCACCCAGTTTCAAATATATGGTGAATAAATAAAATGTAGGAAATTCTCCTGCATTGCCTCCAACTCCCATTACCATTATAGTCCCACTAATAATATTTGGTAGTATATTTTAGATTTTTTTTCCTAAACATAAAAATAAAAACAGGACCTTCTATGTATCAATATATTGTTCTTAATATATATGCACACTTTTAATCAGTACCTACACAGGGATACTTCATTTAAAAATGTCTACATAAACTGTTTTACTGGGCCTCCCTGGTGGTGCAAGGTGTTAAGCACAGCACTATGAAGCTATTAGCAGCCACTGCAGCATGAGTACCATCCCCGGACGGGGACCTGACCCACCTGGAGCAGCCGACTTCTCCTTTTTCACCAGCTGCTCCCCTCAGCACTATATCTCAGTAGATCCACCTGTCCTGCTCCCTACTCTGTCTTTGATAAATCCTTTCATTCCCCCTACACCGCTGACCTACACCCCAGCTTTGTATGCATAAATAAAATAAATCTTTAAAATGCTTTACTGTGGGTATAACATAAACCCTTTAACCATTCTCCTATTAATGGACATTTAAAACTTGCCCATTACTGCCACCATCACTACCACCACACAGTGTTGCAGGGATATTTGTGCATAAGTCTTTTAACCCTGGAGTCTTTCTGAAGAATAAATTCCTGCTATTGAATGAAGTATGCATAATTTTGATAGATCCTGTCAGATTGCTCCTCAGGTAGGCTGTATTACAGTTCTGTCCCCATCACATACATATGCACACTTTCAGTAGTGACAGTGCATTGTTTTACTGTTTTTAGTGAAGCAAACATCTTTTCGTGGGTTATTAACAATGTCTTGGGCAGAATGTCTCTGGGTTATTGGCCTTTTTTGGGTATTGTTGCGGTTTGTCTTTTTTACTATTTGGTGAAACTCAAAATAATTGCCTTTTGTTTACTAACAGGTTTTACATTTTTATGTGGTTATATGAAAATCTCTCTCTTATAATTCTGCCTTGTACATTTCAAATTTATGAACTTATTTTCCTATTATATTACCTATAGTAGGAAATGTATTTATATAAACATATTATAAACGTATAATATTAAACTTATTTATAATAGGAAACATAAAGCTATTTTCTTTTAAATTATTTTTGGTTTTTCTTTAAAATTTAATTTCTAATCTTTGTTAGGACATCAGTTAGTGACTAATTCCTTTTATTTTAACTAACTTGAAAGTTGCTACTTCTATTCAATCCTATAAACATGGGTCTGCTTTTGTGCTATTTTGTTTCAATGAATTTTATCCTATACTAGGCCACTCTGTTTCAATTTATCTTTACCTTTGGTATTATTTGGTATCTCTCTTACTATATTTTGAAATGTGTAGGGCAAGTTTCCTCTTTAAATTCTTTAAAAAAATGGCAATGATTGCACATTGTAGGTAGTAAAACACAGTATTGTTGTCAGTAGGTATACTATTAATACTTGATGTAACTTGGAATACAGTCATGATGATGAAGAAGAAGAAGAGCAACAGCAACCAAGATTGAACACTTATTATGTGACAGACCCTGAACTCAATACGTCATATTGAACATTTCTTCTTTAATTCTTATTAACCCAGCTTAACTAATTCTAGCCAATCCTATATTTACTGTACAAAGGAGGAAATATCAAAATCACTTTTCAGGTAGCCCACAGTTTGCCTTATTTACTTCTGTCAAAATTGCTAACTTCACCCCTCCCTTCCCTAGGTAAGTGTTTTATTGGTAAACATAAATACATTTGGTTTTCTAGGAATCAGTGACCTTCAAGGATGTGATAGTGGACTTTACCCAAGAAGAATGGAAACAACTGGATCCTGTACAGAGAGATTTGTTCAGAGATGTGACCTTGGAAAATTATACACATCTGGTCTCTATAGGTAAGGATGACTTCATAATAGGCTGGGGTAAGGAAGAGGAGGGGTCGCTCAAGCTTAGGTGAATTTTGCCTTTAAGTGAAGGAACCAAACAAAGAATCTTAAATTTGGAAAGATTTTGAAAAGGTTTCTACTCTTTTAGGAGGTGGAAGGGCAAACTTAATTTTTCTGAATCCTGGTAAGTTCTCAAATTATATCACGTCTGGGAATTTTTAATATTGAAGCTCAATAAGCTAAGTCATATATATCAGACTTGTCCCACATATCTTTTCCTATGAAGACAAAATGGTGAGACTGGATTTTCTTACGGCACTTTTCCCTTACTGAAGACAGATAACCTTTTCTCCCCCCTCAACAGGACTCCAAGATTCCAAACCTGATGTGATTTCCCAGTTAGAGCAAGGGACAGAGCCATGGGTAATGGAGTCTGGAGTTCCAGTTGCTACCTTTGAAGGTAAGTAGTGGACATCCAGCAGGTAAGTGTCATTAATTCTAACCACCAGTCTGATAAGTATGTCTGAAATGTAGATGTGCTTGCTTATTTCTAGAGTCTCCTGCGAAAAAAACGGGAAGCCATCTGGACTCTCTTATGCTTTGTCAAAACACTCTCTCAAAATATATTCTATTTTTATACTCCTTTCAAAGGAACTATCCTTTCTTCCTCTTGACGGGGATTCTGGATTCCATCTTTTTTTTTTTTTTTTTCCCCCTACATACTTTGACATCCAGATAGCATAATAATCGCCTCCCATTTTTGCCCTTAGAGTTTTCTTTTTGGATTACAGGCTCCATCCCTAGGACCTTCAAACAGAATTAGGTAACTTAATACTTTTGTTCCAAATTCTACTCAACACTGTTAATCTTTCTGACCACCATGCAGTCTGCCTCTTGCTTTCCCAACCAAACTCTGTAAAAGTGGTTTTGATACCACACCCTTTGTTTTTTCATCACCTGTTTCTTTCTTTTTTTTAAAAGATTTATTTATGCATACAAGAACTGGGGTACAGGCTAGAGGTATGTGGGGGGTGAGAGGATTCACCAGAGACAGAGTGGGGAACAGAACAGGCAGATTACTGAAATACACTGCTGAGGGGAGCAGTGGGAGAGACAGGAGAGGTCTGCTGCGCCATATGGGTGGCTACTAACCCAGGGATTGAACTTGTGCTGCAGTGGCTGTGGATCCCTTCATGGTGCGGTGTTTAACCCCTTGCGCCACCAGGGAGGCCCACCTGTTCCTTTCTTAATCTCATTGTGTAGCTCCTGACCCTATTTCAATATTTTAAAATTGTTTTCTATCTGCTCAAGATGGAATTTTTAAAAACTTTATTTTTAATTTATAATAAAGCTTGACAGCACAAGTTAATAAAGCCCTTATTTACAAAAAACAAACCAACAACTTTTCGAAATTGGATTCCAGGGAGGGATCTCTCTCTAGAGTTAATGAGGTGGGGGAGTGGTAGACAGGAAGGGAGTGCTTGTTAACAAAAATGTTAAGGGAGAAGGTGATGTTCAATTTGAGAAGTGCTAGTTTATCTAGTTTATCTGAAAAACTAGCAGAAAGTAATTACCAAAATTTCTAACTGTAGGAACACTCAGATTTTTTTAATATGCAGTTAGACATTATGAATTTCCAGCCGGGTTGTGTAAAATGTAACATTTCTCCTCACTCCACACCCCCTCCACTAATCTCTTATTTTTTCCATAGTTCACTTTGAAATTTTTTTCTTAAAAGATGCTTCCTGGAACCCAATTTAGAAAACTAAGTTGTTGGGATTTTTTTTTTCTTTTTTTAGATAAGGACTTTATTAACTTGTTCTTTCAAATTTTATTATAAAGTGAAAATAAAGTTTTTGAAAATTCCAAGTTGAGCAGATATAAAACAATTTAAAAATATTTATGTGTGTATCGGCAAATCTCAGGCTTTTCTGAAAATCCTTTAATCATTACAAAAAAGAGAATTATTTTGGTGAAAATAATAATAAAAACCCTGTTGCATGGGTAGTGTAGATAGTTCCAGTGATCCAGTCAGTAGCCAGAAGGAAATCACTTGAAGAATATAGCTGCATTCTTACACTTTCTACGGCTGGAATGTGACTGGTGGTAAGTGTGCCTTTCCAGCATCCAGAGCAGACTTAAACTCTTAGCTGATGACTTGGCTACTTTCAACTCTGTGAAAATGATTTACAGATTTTATGCATGTATAGCCGTCACTGAAGTTGTGATGCTACCTACATTGAGGTTGCTACTCACCCAGTATCATTTCCTTCTCCTCTTACTGCCAACTTTCTTCTCTTGGCTGCTTTGATAACCTGACTCCTGCCAAGTCGTGGTCAGTAACCTTGATTTGTATTCTGTCTCACTGGCCTACCATGTTCTTTTGCAGCCTGGTTGTCAGCACCATCCATTATTTCTCCATGCACAGTGGTGTTGAAATCTGTGGTCCATACTTACAGACTTTGCATGTAATAAAGTAGGCGCTGCTTTCTATAGTAGGCATATGTATTCAGCCCGACCTTCTGGAACTTTCTCCAGCCCTTCTTTCTTTGCCCTAACTCTGATACTGTGTGGAAGATAAGACAATGTGGATACATTGGTCTGCTCTGTTGCATGTTTGCTGCCTTCATCTGAAACTACAACCAGGGCCAGATGTGAGCTTCCATATCCTTTTTTAACAGCATCAGAATTCATGGGGTCCACATCCTTTACTGTGAAGTACTTCAGGAGGCATTTGTCACCTTTTAATTTAACTATGTCTGTGTGAGTCTATGTCACTTTTTAAATTAACCATCTTCTTAAATGGAGTTCCCTTACTGGTTCCTGAGATTATGAAATTGATAGTAGACATCTTTCCACCACTTTCATATTTTTTTCAATCTTCTCAGTGCTTCCCAGCTTTCTCCGCATGTAATAAGGGTTAGATTTGAAAATTCTCAGAATGTCCTGAGAGCTTTATTTTTATAGTTTCATTAGGTTATTCCCACCACAGTGGGGATTTTTCCATCTCTACTCAGAGAACACTGACATTTTATTTTTCAGACTGGGAGACAAGACCAGAAAATAGCACATCAGTCCCACAGCTGAACATACCTGAAGAACAACCATCTCCAGAGGCATCAGTCGAAAAACACAACAGGAATGATGCTTGTAGTTCCAACTTTTTAGAAACTAGGGCATCTGAAGGCAGTCTAGAAAGGCAGCAGGCAAACCAACAGATACTGCCAGGGGAAATAAATGTAACTGAAAAGACAATACCCACTTGCGACAGAAGCCCTATAGCTAATGTTGAAAAAAGTACCACTATTAATTCGACCGCTGTAACACAAATATCTCCAGGAGAGACCCCTACTAAAGCAAACGTCAAACAGAATTTAAATCCAGCCAAAAAAGAGAAGTCTTGTAAGTGCAATGAATGCGGGAAAGCTTTTAGTTACTGTTCAGCTCTTATTCGCCATCAGAGAACACATACTGGAGAAAAACCCTACAAATGCAACGAATGTGATAAAGCCTTCAGCCGGAGTGAAAACCTTATAAACCATCAAAGAATTCATACTGGAGATAAGCCATATAAATGTGATCAGTGTGGAAAGGGCTTCATTGAGGGTCCATCTCTGATTCAACATCAAAGAATTCACACTGGAGAAAAACCCTATAAATGTGATGAGTGTGGGAAAGCCTTCAGTCAGAGGACCCATCTTGTTCAACATCAGCGAATTCATACTGGGGAGAAACCATATACTTGTAATGAGTGTGGAAAATCCTTTAGCCAGAGAGGCCATTTTATGGAACATCAGAAAATTCACACAGGAGAAAAACCTTTTAAATGTGATGAATGTGATAAAACCTTTACCAGGAGCACACACCTTACTCAACATCAAAAAATTCACACTGGTGAGAAAACCTATAAATGTAATGAATGTGGGAAGGCCTTCAATGGACCCTCAACATTTATCCGTCATCATATGATTCATACTGGTGAAAAACCTTATGAATGCAACGAATGTGGGAAAGCCTTCAGTCAGCACTCAAACCTTACACAACACCAGAAAACACACACTGGGGAGAAACCTTACGATTGTGCTGAGTGTGGAAAATCCTTTAGTTACTGGTCATCCCTTGCACAACATCTTAAAATTCATACTGGAGAAAAACCTTACAAATGCAACGAGTGTGGAAAGGCCTTCAGTTACTGTTCATCCCTTACCCAACATCGGAGAATTCATACCAGGGAAAAGCCCTTTGAATGCAATGAATGTGGAAAGGCTTTCAGTTATCTCTCAAACCTCAATCAACATCAGAAGACTCATTCCCAAGAGAAAGCTTATGAATGTAAGGAATGTGGAAAAGCCTTTATTCGGAGTTCTTCTCTTGCTAAACATGAAAGAATTCACACTGGGGAGAAGCCGTATCAGTGTCACGAATGTGGGAAAACCTTCAGTTACGGCTCATCCCTTATTCAGCACAGGAAAATCCATACTGGAGAAAGACCTTACAAGTGTAATGAATGTGGAAGAGCCTTCAACCAGAACATACACCTTACACAACATAAGAGAATTCACACGGGCGCAAAGCCTTATGAGTGTTCTGAGTGTGGCAAGGCCTTTCGACATTGTTCATCTCTTGCTCAACATCAAAAAACTCACACAGAAGAAAAACCCTACCAGTGTAATAAATGTGAAAAGGCTTTTAGCCAGAGCTCCCATCTGGCTCAGCATCAGCGAATTCACACTGGAGAGAAACCCTATAAGTGCAATGAATGTGACAGAGCCTTTAGCCGGAGCACGCATCTGACTGAACATCAGAACACTCATACTGGAGAGAAACCTTATAACTGTAATGAGTGCAGGAAGACTTTCAGCCAGAGCACTTACCTTGTTCAGCATCAGAGAATTCATTCGGGAGAGAAGCCTTTCGGATGTAATGACTGTGGAAAAGCTTTCAGGTATCGTTCTGCTCTCAACAAACATCAGAGACTGCACCCTGGCATCTGATTACTTTAGTAACATCATACGTGTAGGGGATACATTTACTGTAGTTTGTCCTTTTGTTAAGTCCTGAAGAATCAGAGTGGACCAAGAAACTACTTAAAATACTGCAACTTTTCTTTGGTCACTATGAAATGCAAAGTACATTAGGCTGAACTAACCAATTATGTTGTTAAACAATTTTGTGACATTGGAAAATTCAACTTTGAAGCTCCAGTTTCCTCTGTGAAATGAGGAATTTGGAGTAGATGATTTCAAAGGTTACTCGGAGTTTTATATTCACTTTTGTATAGTCTATATTCTTGAATAGGATTACTTTACATCAGCATTTTGCTATGTTGCATCTAGAGTGTGTATATTGATGCATGTTTTGCCAATAGGAAACATTTGTGCTTCAGTAATACGAGTGGGGATCTATTATGCTCCTGTTATAACAAGTTGAAGTAAATAACTGGTTCCTAATAAAAAGAATTATACTCTCAAATTAATGATTTAGTAGACTATGTGGCTTAAATCAGTACAGATAATTAAATCTTCCTACTATTTTCTTATCTAGTATGTTTTAACATTCCAAGAGTTTATCATAACTACAGAGCTCCTCATTTATTGCTTAAGCCAGTGTTATTTTTTTTTTTTAGAATTTTTTTTTTATAGAGGCATGTTTTGTTTTATTTATTTGTTTGTTTGTTTTTTTGTTTATACATGCACTGGGTACAGTCAGAAGCGCGGGAGGGTGAGAGAATTCACCAGAGCCAGAGCGGGGAGCAGAGCAGGCAGAAGGACCGAAGTACACTGCTGAGGGGAGCAGCAGGCGGCAGGAGAGGTCTGCGCGCCCTGTGGGACCCTCCTCTGGTGGCCGGGGAGCAGCCGGGGATCGAACCAGCGCTGCAGGGGCCGCGGGCAGCTTCGCAACCCAACGCTCAACCGCTGCGCCACCGGGGAGGCCCAAGCCAGTGTTATTTAACCCTACTTGGAGTGAAACCTCTTCGGGAACTTTGTAAAATTGTGTTGCTAAAGCCCTGCCCCCAGAGATTATAATGTGATTGGCCTGGGGTGGGACCCAAGCCCCCGTCATTTTTCCTTCATTCCTTACATGACCCTTGTAAAAAATACATGGATTGGATTTTGGTGCCAAAGTTAGCTAGTAGCTGCTGCTTGTGGCTCCTAGAAACCTCACAGCTTAGAACATATAATGTAATTTAAACTGTAATCTTGTTTTATAAATTGGGTTTCATAAGCTCTGGGAGGTAGGGTCAATTTGTTTTCTCACCAAAATACAGAAATTAAATGGCTGTGTAAAATAACGGTCCTTTTATTTGCTTTTCCTTGGTTACCTGATATAGAGAAAAATGACTGTGATTGAAACTCCTGGATTTGTGTACCTCACAAGCCTGTGGGGTTCTTTGTAGAAACCCTGGTCAGGATGACATCTCAGCCAAAAACAAACAAGGGTCTAGCCATAACGAGATGGACCCTATTTTCTCCAGATACAGTCTAGTTATCAGAGGAACTCTTCTAGAAGCAACAATTTCCCAGCCTGGCCTTGAGAATGGAGAGTGCCGAGAATAGGTGGCGGCACAGAAATTGATCACTGTTTACATAAAGAGTTCTAGGCTGTAATACAAGTTAAAAAAAAAAAAAATCAATGTACTCCTGTTTGTTTATATAAATACCTGTGACCTATATTGGAAATTTGTCAACTCCTTAACTAAAGATGCCACACATTGAAGAAAAAACAGGTATAAATCAGGACATAGCAGAGCCATTTAAATCTCACCCTTTTTCTGTTGTTATGTGAAACATCTATAAAAGAGTGGCTCGTCTTAATTTCTCAAGGCTTCTATTATATAGGAATTACAGTTACCACCTTGCAAAGAGGTACAAACTGGCTGAGAGGAATGGATCTCAGGCTGTAGGATAAGTTTGGTTGAAATCTGAGCCAGTGCCACAGTACAAGAAACGGGAGTTTACCCTCCCCTTCCGAGGGACATCCCCCACGGAAAACACCAGTCTCCGGAGAGGGAAGACATGGATTCTTCTATGAAGGTAGAATTTTGTATGAAAATTTGTCACTGGCCCTGAAAAAAATCCCACTTTATGTCATTAATTTGATCTCTTCATAAACTGTCAGATCAAACCCAGAGCACCAAGAATAGTTGATCTTTTTTAAGAAATATGCCTTTGATCTGCTTGTTTGCATCTTCCCAGACCTTGGAAGCATGCTGACCCATCTGAGAGACAGGGATAGGCAGTGAAACTCCAGAAGTTAACATGATCTTGGTTTCTGTATCAGCTCTCAAAAACAGTTCACTAGCTATGTCAGAACATTCTCTGAAGTGGATGGATTTGTAGTTGCTGCTCTAACTCAGATATGTCCAAAATCTTTTCCTTTGTCACCTGACTTGTCAGTCATGTGCTTACCTTATATCCCTCCTTACCCCTATTTTAAAAGCAGAAAAGATTTTTTTTAAGATTCTAATTTTGTTCAAGTAAATTTCATTATTTTTATTTTATTTTAGTATAGAAGAACTGGGGTGAAGGCCAGAGACTGCTGGAGATTCACCAGAGAGAGAGTAGGGAGCAGAGCAGACGGATTTATTGAAACACTGCTAAGAGGAACAGATGAACAGGAGATCTGCTGTGCCATATGTGGGTTAGCTCCCTGGCCAGGGATTGAAATCTGGTCCCAGCAGTAACGGTGCTAAGACTTAACCCCTTGACCATTAGGGCAGCCCAACGAAGTTTTTTAAAAATGGTTTCTTCCTTGGTGTTAATTCTGTCATTCATATGCCATGAATACCTTGTATAACATTAACATTAGTTCCTTAATATTTATTATACTCAGGGAATAGAGTAAAATCAATGGGGAGAATTAAAACTTAGGAATTAGAACTTTTTTCCTGGAAGTTATAATTAGTCCAGAAAATAGAGGTATTCAGTCTACCTTAGAGGTCTAACATTCATTGACAAACTGCCCAAAAAGTAAAGTATCTCAGAAATAACTAATAAGGCCAGAGTTCTTAATGAGGAAAGGAATTCTACACTGCTTACAAAAAATTCTAATATCTTCATATGTGGTTTCTTTGGGATGTTTCATTGTCTAAGATCGAGCATATCAAGTAGTTTTCCTTTAGGACCTACCTAGACCACAATTTCCTTATCTCCCACCAGATTACAGATACTGGGTCACTAAAGCTTTTTGTCAAATAATTGAGGGAATGGGAAAAAGTGTCACAATCTAGTCACTGATTTTTAACATTTTCATTAAAAGTCATTTAAACAGAGCCATTGCTTCCTGAGGTACCTGTCCTTAAGGTGGTTGGGGTTTAGAATTGGACAAAACAGCTTTCACAGAGCTCATATCCTATTATATCAATAAATAAATGTGTAAAATGCCAAGTAGTGATAAGGGTTATAAATCCCAATCCCAATAAGGCAGCATGAGGAGCTTGCGGGAAATCCCCTCGGGGCTGTGGTGCTATTGTAGATGGATTGGCAGAAGCATGGCTGTGTGTCTCTGGTTCATATTGTTGATTTTGATGGAGTTTTCTAGATTCCTGCTATGAAGCATGCTTTTGGCTTATTTCGCTGAGCAGAAGCAGGAGGTACTGGAGCACAGACTGAAGGAAGTGAAGGAATGAACTGGGTAGGTATGCGGGACTTCTTGGGAAGAGGGACAAACACTGGCCCAGAAGTCATAATGAGCAAAAAGGACACCTACTTCACCTCTAGTCCCAGTAAGTCTCCTCACATAAAAGATGCAAAGAAAGATGAGGGGTGAGCAGTCATGGCCTATGGCCCAAGGTAAATTATAGTACCCAGGCTGGAGGGAAGGAGGAAGAAGCTGAGGATAGAGAGGCACAGGGTATATTTGTTGTGTAGAGATGGGCGTGTCAATGAGTTAGGGCAGCTTAAAGAGCTAGAGGCAGACAATGTACATGATCCAACACATTTTCCATCTCACGATTCCCCTTGTCCAAACTTCACATTTTCTAGGCTGTATTTCTTTTACACCTTTATTTTCACATAACAAGTTAGTGTCCCCTATAGCTAGTGTCCCACTACCAGATTTTGTATTCATTGAGTATTCCAGTTGTCATGACAGCTGCAGTTTTCATTTTTTTTTTTTAAGACTTATTTATTTATTTATACAAGCACTGGGTACAGTCAGAAGTGCGGGAGGGTGAGAGAATTCACCAGAGCCAGAGTGGGGAGCAGAGCAGGCAGAAGGACCGAAGTACACTGCTGAGGGGAGCAGCAGGCGGCAGGAGAGGTCTGCGCGCCATTTGGGACCCTCCTCCGGTGGCTGGGGAGCAGTCGGGGATTGAACCGGTGCTGAAGAGGCTGCAGGCAGCTTCACAACCCAGCGCTCAACCGGTGCGCCACCAGGGAGGCCCTGCAGTTCTCATTTAAATAAACATTCTATTTTACACATCAGCCTGAAATGAGTTTGGTCGATGTGAAATCAGTTCCCAGTCAATATTACCTTCTGGCCACATCTCATTTTAAAAACTTGGGACCAGGTCCTGGATATTGACAACAGCATAATAATTACCATTTACTAAATAGCAACATGCACTAATGACAACCCTAGGAGGTTTGTGTTGCTCTACCTATCTACAGATGATTACATTTAAGTGGTAAAGTAACTTTCCCATAGAAAAGTAGAGTCAGTATTCCAATTCTGGGTTTCTTCAAAGTCTATTATTTTTCAGGCCTCCCTGATGGGGCAGGGGGTTGAGCGCAGTGCTGTGAAGCTGTCCGCAACCTCTGCAGTGCCGGTTCTATCCCCGCTGGCCGCGGAGCAACCCATATGGTGTGGCAGACCTCTCCTGTCTTACCTGCTGCTCCCCTCAGCAGTGTATTTCAGTCAGTCTGCCTGTTCTGTTCCCTGATCTGTCTCTGGTGAATCCTCCCACCCTCCCACACATCTGGCCTGTACCCCAGTTCTTGTATAAATAACTCTTTTTAAAAGAGTCTCTTTTTCCATGTAATTACAATTTTGAAAGTCCCCAAAGATAACACTACCCTTGAGTGGTCAGTCACCTGGGTTTCTCCTAGTGACAAGAATATATAGCTAAAATTCTAGGAAAATATTGCGGGGGGGGGAGGGGGATTTTGGGCGATGACACCAAATACACAGGAAACAAAAGCAAAAACAATTTGAACTTCATGAAAATTAAAAATTCTTGTGTACCAAAGCACGGGAGTGAAAAGACAACTTGCAGAATGGGAGCAAACACGTGCAAATCATATGTCTGACAAGGGGTTAATCATCAAAATCCATAAACATCTATACCTTAAAAACAAAAAGCAGCCCTATTTGAAATGGGCAAAAGACTTGAAAAGACATTTCTCCAAAAAAATATATACAAATGACTAATAAGTAAAACACGAAATGCCCACCATTCTTCATTGCAGAAACACAAATTAAAACCACAATGAGATACCACTTCATGCCCAATAGAATGGCTATTATTTAAAAAAAAAAAAAAAAAGGAAAAAAAGTGAAGTGGGGCAGCTAGGAGGATGTACACTGAAGCAT